GGGGACCTGACCCACAGCATCATAAATAACTAGTTTATAATTTTGTAGTGGGAGGTGCTATCTTCTATAACGGGTAAAACAGAATTTTTAGTTCCCTTCTTCATAAAGTGGATCTGACCTTGTTGATAACTTTCTCCTTTCTCGCTTGAATATGGAGAATAAAGCATCAACGTGGGGATTTTTTCACTTGAAAAAAGAGGGACGGACTAGACATGCACCAATGTTTTATTACCTGTTACATATGAAAATTTCCTCTTCTCATAGAACCTTCTGAAGGTTTGCATGTGCTTGTAATATCTTTGACAGATATAAATGAATGTTTCACTTTTTAATTTTTATGTTCTGATCAGCTATTATAAGTAATTTGCAGCTAATGTGAGTTTGATATGTTGAAATTTTTTACTTATGGAAGCAAAGACAAAAAGAGAAAACAAATGAAATACAACTTAGGATTATTTCTATCTATAGCTAGCATGAGGAAGTTATCCATTCTTAAGAGTTAATGTGGTCATTAAAGCTAACTGAAAGGCTGGCCTTCAGCAACCATTCAAGTTCAAAGTTCAAAGTTCAAACTCCATGTTCTGAATCTTCTGATTCTTGTTTAACGTTGTTTGCAGTATCTATGAGTTAAGTTTTAATTAAGAACAGCAATACATTTCAAAACGGAAAATACATTCATAGGGGGAGATGGATAAATTTCCTAATTAAGCAGTTGAATTTGGATTGAGCAATGGATGGTATATGATACAAAATAAGTTATATATATATATATATATATATAGCATTAATTAACCTGATCATGGCACAATATTTTCTTTAACAATTCAAAGATTTGGTCCTCAGCCCTGTGTTCAGAAAGAACAGAACCTTGCTTTCTGTATAGCATGCACTAATGTCATACATCTGTAGTTTTTCTTTTCCTCCATTGTCGTTTTGGTTAATTGAATTTGTTCATTCATTCAACCCTATGGGTATCTATACAAACAGTGTTATGTTATCACATCATCAACTTCCTAGAAAATACATTTCACAATTAAAGTTCTGATCACGATTGGTTATTAACAAATGTTCCAAAGAAATACACCTCTTTAACTGGTAACCCTCAAAAGTTTTATGATTCCGGCATTTTGATGTAGAAATTGAGAAGTAGTTTAAGTGCTTAATAGGATTAAACGACACCTACGGAGAAATAAGTTTTTCGTGGTATTATTTTTCATGATGTTTCAATAAAAAAAGACCACTAGCTTCTGTAATCTTGAAACGGCGGTAGCATTTACAAATAAACACCACTAAAATTGAAAATAGTGGGGTTTTTCATCCTTAATGCTGTTAAAATATAAAAAACTAGGTTGTGACTCGTGTAATGCAGAATTAATTTATATATTTAATTTAAAATTATAATTATAAAATGATATTAAATTTTAAATAAATATATGAACAAAATATAAAAGTATTATTCAAAAATACTAAATTCCTTTTTTTTTTTTGAAATTTTAAAGTGAAAATGGATGATTAGTTTCTTCATAAACTATTTTTAAATTTTGTGTAATTATCATATTTAAATTTAAAAATAATGCATTTAAATTTACAAAATGATAGAAAGTCTTGAAAAATAAATACTTTCCTAAACTTAAAGATATAAATTGGATATTGCTTAAAAATATAATGAAATACAAATGAATTAAATTATCATTCATAATTAAAAATATATAATTTCATTTTCACTTTAGGTAATGTTTAGATAAATATTTATAAAGGAAAGGAAAGGAAAAGAAAAAAAAAGTTTTTTAAAGGAAAGGAAATGATATATGTACCTTTTATTTGGATAATTAAAATTAATAAAGAAAAAGAAATGAAAGAAATTCTAACATCCATTGTTTTGGATAAAAAGTGAAAAAGAAAGGAAATGGTTTATTATAATAATTTTTTTCAATTATAATCTTTCATTACTTGTGATTTTTAGAGCACTCATGAATCATGATATGTTTGCTATCTTGTATGGTCTCACAATTACTGTTATATCAGTGGTTTTTAATCAAATAAAATATAAAGATATTTTACAAACATGCATTGATGGATTTTTAATCATTGCCAAAATTTTAGCACACTATCACTTTAGCGATATATTCATATAAAAGCTATTAATTATAAAAAATGTAATCACATAAAAACATTACATCTCATAAACTTAAAAAATATGTCTATTCATATTCAATCATTCATTAAAATCAAATCATCAAAAAATTTTAAAAAATTAAAAAAAAAATGGCTTTGAAAAAATTACAGAAAGATTACTATGTAATTAAGTTTTTCTAACTAGATTTTTAATATTAATAAAATGATGGATATAATAATCTTTTTATAAAAATAAAATTTTTTCAACTTTTCTTTCTTTAGCTTTTCCTCCAAATTAAGGTATTAAAAAAGTGAAGATTATAAAAAAAATCAAAGGTTATTAAGTTTCCACCTCTTTTCTTTCTTTTAAATTAAAAGTTTATCTAAACAAAGCATTAATTATTATATTGTTTATATTTAAATATACATATTTAATGAAAAAAATTCTTATATTACAAAATTAAAGAAAATAATATTTTTTTTATTATTTGAACAATTTGATTCAAAAAGAAAAAAGTTATAAACATAGCAAATAATTGTCTTCAAAAGTCTTATAAAAAAATATTTTCATCTTCATCTCAATGTTAAGTTATTAATATAAGATGATAAAGTTTAGTAGTAAAGTATATATACTTATCATCTTATAAAGATTAATATTTTCAATAAATAAAAGCAAATGGTATTATATCATTTTCATAATTTACTTTTTTACTTGTACCACAATGGAGTACCCCAACTCAATCTGTTCACTCTTGCATTTCATGGATACAACATTTAGTAATATAAAACAAAACAAAACAAAAAAATCATGTAAGATTATTTTATCATTACATTGTAAAGATCAAAGGCACCTTAAATTTTAACATTAAAGTGAACATACATCAATTCCTACTTCCTATAATAATCTAGTTAAACAAAATGTAGTATTTAAATATTACCATTATAATTTTTATTAATTTTTACCTAATAAAATTGTTGTTCTGTTTGATGGGATGTTCGATTTTGAAATTCTTATTTCCTTAACTTAATATAGGACCTATTATTTCTAAAAGCAAGTTTTAGAATAAGACTATTGTAGCACAAAAATCTTATACATTATTGACAAAACTATAATTATTGATCAGGTAGAATAAATTTGGTAATAGAACTTTTGTCACACTAGTATTTTTTAGAGAAAATATCAATTGTTGAAAACCCTCAAAGTTTTGATTTGAGTGTTTTGTAATTAACATCCCTTTCAACCATTAACCAGTTGCTAAGAATCAAAATAATAGTTTCTCAAAATCAAAAAAGAATATATGCAATTGGTAATAAATGAAAGAGATGAAAATAATACTTTATTTGATACAAGTATGACTAATACCATTGACATGTGCAATTGATGGACTAAATGAGTAATAGGAGAAATTCAATACAAGAATATTTCATTGATGTGGAAGATGGAATCCATTAAATAGTGAAATAAATTATATTTGATTTTTTAAAATTTATTAGAAAATTTATAAAAATAAATTTATATTTAAAAATTTTAAATTTTAAATAGATATATTTAGATTGTCAAAAGTATATTTAAATTATATATATTTAAAAAGTGATTATATATCTAGATTGTTAGAGATAAATCTAAATAGTATATTTTTTAAAAATTTAATAAAAGATATATAAATGGTTTAATAGTTCATTTTTAAAAAATAACAAAATTATTGATTTTATTCTAAATTTATTTGAAAAAAGTGAGTTTGGAATAAATTTTATTTGATTTAAATTAAAATAAAACTCTTGAAATATTAAAATAAATCTAATTTTTAAACTTTTAAATTTTTTAAAAATAAAATAATTATTGAATGAGATTATTTGGTTAAAACTTTAAATTAAATTATTATTTTACATGTCAAAAATATAGGTTATTCACATAAATATTCATGTGACATACTTTATCAAATATCCATATATTTTGTAATATAATATATATATATATATATATATATTAAATTTGGTAAGCACAAAAGGAAATAAAGTGCCGAAAAAAGGAATAGGAAGGAATTAGAAATTTCGGATAAATTTATCAACGTTTATAATTTATATGCCATTAAATTTTAGATTATTTTAGATTTTACCAACATTTTTATTTATAAATATCACTAAAATCTGAAATTTCGTGGCATTTTTTATATAAACCTGCTATTTTAACTTCACAATTTTAACACGCTTCATCTTTCTGTGTTCATTTATCTTATCTTTTTTTTTTTCCTGTCAGTATGTTTATTTCTATTTAGTGGTGTTAGGATTATAGTCGCTGTGACTTTGGTCTAAAATGTTTTGAAAAAAATTTAAATAAAATTTTTTAAGTGAAATTCATAAAATTTTTATAAAAAATAATTAAATTAAAATTAAAATTAATAAATTAAAATATTTTTTCGCATAATTAAGTGTATAAAATTTTAAAAAATTTTAATATATATTTTTAATATAAAAATATTAAAATTAAAATTAATAAATTAAAATATTTTTTCGCATAATTAAGTGTATAAAATTTTAAAAAATTTTAATATATATTTTTAATATAAAAATATTGACTTAATTTTTATCATTAAATAATAATCAATCAAATTTTTTAATAAATTTTTTATATATTATTTATTTTTATTAAAATTTTTATTAAATTATTTTTAAGAACAAACTTTGCAAATTTCGTCTGTAAGTTCTATCAAATTTCCTTTCCCCGCTTCATTCCTCTATTCTCATTTTTAGGCTATTCAACACTCATGGTTTCCCTCAGTCACCCGCAAAGCTATCTTTCTCTCTTCCATCTTGAACTTTTGTAGAGCCAAAACCCAAATCCCTTTATCAAACTCATCAAATTCTACTCCGTAGAGTTCTTGAGAATGGCTTTTGTAGATCCAAAACCCAAACCCCTCGTGACGCTTACGACGGTGACGGCGAATGGGAGTTCCACCTCGTCGAGTTCCATCTTCGAGCCAACCTTCGATGTTACCAGCAAGGATCTCTACAATTCCGATTATATGATTATTCCCCTCGATTTCACCGATTTCGCAAGCTACGGTTCCTCTGAGCAAAGGCAAGCTACTCCTAATTTTTATTGCATTACGATTTTTAGGGTTCGAGATTTATAGAAAATAACTGTTTATTTCAGTGGGATTATTATTGTGATGTTGTGGTGAGGGCAAGAACTGAGGCTGTGGGCAATTGTTAGGAAGGGTTCTACTGAGGTCTTTGAAACTGATCAAAATACCCAATACGGCGGATGATGATTACGATTACTTATTTAAGGTTATCCTGATCGGTGACTCTGGTGTTGGAAAATCCAACCTTTTGTCTAGATTTATAAGAAACGAGTTTAGCCTTGAATCTAAGTCTACTAAGAGGGTTGAGTTTGCCACCCGTAACATTCATGTTGATGATAAGGTTGTTAAAGCTCAGATTTGGGACACTGCTGGACTAGGAAGGTGTTTGACTCTTGCCATTCATTTTTGGGTGTAGATTTTGATCTGGATTTCTTTATTTATCCTTTGTTTTTGCTTAATTTGAGAATTTGAATTTTTTTAGGTGTTCTCTGAATATTGGGATCTTACGAAATAGGAAATTAATGAGTTCTAGTTCCTACAAGTGAATAAATTGTATCATGTTTTTGGCTAATGCAACACATAGGATTTCAATCCGAAATAAGAGATTTCCTTGTTAAACGAAATTGCTTGCTTGGCTATTTATTTTTATCCTTGTATTGAATTTTGATGGAATAGAACATGGCTTGCCTGATATTTTTGCTATAGTTTCGGATTATAATGTCTGAATCACCCACAATAGAAAACTGGACTTTGTATTGTGATGTGGTTGCCTGCACTGTTTTGTGTTTTGATAGCCACTTCTTTGTTTCATTGCTGGAGTGATAACATTACAAAATTGGCATTAAATTTTATGTCAATGTGGCCTTTTATTCTCTTATTAATTATGGTCTATACTGCTTCTTGTAGATTACCACGCAAGAAACTTTCTTCTTTTTTTTTTTCATTTTGTTGATTGTTTGTTGCTTAGGCAGTTCTGGAAGCATAATATTTGTAACGAGACTACTATTACTGCTATTGTTGTTGGTTTTCACAGAATGTGTTGTGAACTGCATCAAAGTTAATTGCATGCTTGGGAAAAGATAAAAATAATGAAAGTCCATATAAGGCAAATTTCCTAGCAATTTGGCTTAATGATATGAGAATATAATTACTTTTTGACCTTATCTTTTGCTAATTGATCAAAATGGTCAATCTTGAGTGTTCACATCAATGACCATTTGTAATAAATGCCATTCATTTACCATGCCCCATTGAGTTTGTATGTGATACTAATAAAGTTAGTTATAGTTGTTTAATCTATTATAAAATATTACATTATTGCTGTCAAGATATTTTGATGCTGCTTGACTACCTTACTTTGTCCTTTCTCCTACAATGTTATAAGAAATGAGTCTTGCTAACTAATATCATGAGATTATCTTGACCAATTACATTTGATATTTTTTGATTTAGAATATAGTTGTTGAGTTTAGGATTATGTATGTTATTTTCTTGTTTTGCTTATTATACTTCTCTAATGAGCTTTCTCTTTATTGTTTAGGTGAGAAGGGAATGGTAGATGAAGCTCAAAAAACATTGAATGATGCTGAAGTACTTAAAAAGATATTTAATTTTCTGAGTTTTTGCTCTTCTCTTTTCCTTGAATGTTGTCTTATATTTGTTCTATTTATGTCTTCATCCTTATCTCTTTTAAGCAAAAATATATATATATATATATATTTACTTTTCATTTTCTTTATTTTTAGCTATTAGAAAATATGTGAAATTTCATTCTATTTTATTTGTTAACTTACTAAGACATTGATGTATTTAAATGTTTTGTATTATTTATTTAATAAAATTGAATTATGTTTTGTGTTTTATAATATGTTTTAAGGTTGAATGTAATTGTAGTGAAAATAATAAAAAGAATTGTCCCATATGTTAATTTTTATTTATATTAATATATATGTATAATTAATATTCAAAATTTAATAACGTTTATTAATATATAAAATGTATTTTATCTATAACTAATATAGGGGAGTTTAATAGTATAAATACTATTATCTATCTCTAATTAATATATATTTCTAATATAGCGGTGTTTATTGTAATAAACATACAATAGATACCACTAAGCATAAAAATTCCCATTCCCTGATCTATTCATTAAGTTGTTTTTAAAATGGTGCTGAATATATAAAAATGCCGTGATTAAATGATAAAAAAACATTGTTAAATTTACCAGCACTTGAGTAACCAACACTTTTAACGACATAAGAAACGTCGTTAATGATTTTCTGATATTTATAAATGCTATTAAATGATATTAAAAAAAAAAAGAAAAAACCTTGCTAAAATCTTAATTTCTTGTAGTTCCGATTGCTTGCCGAGGCAAAGCAGTACTTATTGTGTTAAAAAAATGAAAACGTACTTGCAATGAAATGGAGAGGTCACTTATTGGACTAATGGAGTGTTATTTGCTAATCTGATGCAGGGCTTCAATCTAAGAGCTAGATTAAGGAATTGGAAAAAAAAAAAATCTAAACAAGTTTAGCTTTTATTAGTACTATATTTCTGCCCTCGCTTCGTTGAGGGCTCTTTTTTTTTAACATTATTTTCCCTTGATTTTCATTTCATTAGTAGAGAATAATGAAACCGAGGCATCAACATTGTTACTAATTAGTTGTTACATTAAATTCATTTTTCAAAAACTTTATTAACACCAAGCATAAATTATGATAGCTCAAAAGGTTCTGAAATAATATGCTACAAATAAATCAAATTAAAATTTATTTTCAAAGAAAAAAGAAAAAAAATGCTCACCAAACTTAAATTGAAGTAAATTTTCAACTGAATTAGAAAATATATCAAAAGGGAGCAACATTTAGAAATATCTTAACATTTCACCACAAAAATGGAAGAAAAATGATAGAGTTGCATGAAATCAATCGAAACTTTAAGCAATCAATGATTGTGGAACTTTTTTGCAAAACTATGTGCAATGTCCTATAATCATACTTTAGACAGAAGTTTTGTATCATCTATAACATGAAGATCCAAAAGCCCAGCTCCAAATCCCTCGTGAACTCTTGAGAATAGAACCCATTAGATGTAATCGGGCCTTTTAAACTTTGGACAATTGATGTGTATTGTTTTAACCTCGATTCCCCATTTAAACTGAGGTTTCTCAATTAATTTAAATAGCCTCAACTTCTTTTTTGCAAATTGAACTCCATAACCCTTCAATAGTGTAATAGTAACTTTTCATTATCTTAGAATATGTAAATTGTAAACCCATTTAAACACATAAAATAACAGCAAGAGGTATTTAAAATACAGACAGTTCATTCAAAAGCAAATAAAAACTAATATAATGAGGATAATGAGAAGTTACTATATCAAGCCACGATTTAAAGCATTTAAATTCATCAAAATTGGCAACCTAAATAAATTTAAAGTAATTAAAAATATGATTAACCCAATCCAAATTGCATGCATCTAAATCGAGCAATGAAAGATAATTGTTTTTGGCCTAATGCAACATTATTGAAAGTGGAACCTTGATTACTTGAGCATCTTGAATATCTTTTTCATTGACTGTGATTCTTAAGGATACAAGTTATTACCGAGGTAGATGATTCTTCTAAGAGAGCTGCACTATTGAAGCAAATACTATTAGTACAATAACTGAGAAGAATATTGCACGACGTTGGACAATAAAATGATGATTGGAGCAAAAGTAGTGAAGTATAACAAAATAAGATTAGAAAAATTCAACAATTGGATGTTTGATAATGTAGACTATAATTTAATTGGGAAAAGATTCAAGGCTTTAGCTGCCATCAATAATCCTTTTTTTGAGAACATAAGGTTGAATGAAAACAAAAGATTAATTAATGGAAAGGCTAAAAGAAAATAGGCAAATTCATAAGGTTTAGATTACTAAAAAGAGTAATGATCAAACTCTATATGGGACATACGACTAAATTTACACAAATCTGTTTAATTCAAGCACAATATATATACTATATAGGAAGAAGAATAGAAGATCAATCCAATCAATTCAATAAATACTTTTTCTTAACAAAAGCCCACCACTACACATAATAAAACCTCTATCCATGCAGGAAAAACTCCCATATGAAGGATGCATGATTATGAAGAATGAAGCCTAGACACCAAAATCTGAATATAATAGTACATCAGTGAAAGTCCATAGCAACTTTAAGTTTTGCATGAGAAACATTATTCTTATTGGTGCATTTAGAGATGCTAAGGCACCGTACTTAATATTTATGAACCTAATACATGAGATTCATAAAGACAAAAAGCAAACAACTTAAAAATCAACTTATGAAAACTGGATCAAGCGTATTAGTCACATTTTGCTTAATGAACAAGCATGCATAGAATACTCTGTAGATAAAAAGTAATAATCTGACCTTATCAGTAATGGCTTGCTCTTTGACTGCATGGCCATATCAAAATGATTATTATTAAACCATTATTTATAAATGTTTATTAGAAATAATCCAAAAATAGAGTACTTTACCTAAAAGCAACAATTTTTAGGAAAATGTATCCATCTGCAAGAATAAAAAATCATGATTCCCTTTAAAGTTAAGGTCATCTGTAGAAATCCATGAGCAAAACTTCATTTCATTTTATTTAAATGATGCTTAATGCTTCTAAAACTATATATATATATATATATATAAACAAACCAAAAATCATACATGCATGCAAGAACAAATCTATCAATAAATCATAGCAAAAAATCCTAACTTGAACTTTTAAGAAGAGAAAAAAGAACTCCAAATTTAATTTTAGCAAAGTGTAAACAAATATCAATCATTTTGAAGCAAATATTAATAAATCATGCACAGAGAATTCAATCATAAGAATCAGATTAATTAGATACCTTTTGATAAGTAGTGCCATCTTTTTTAGTGACCCAACCACCCATCAAATTATCCTAGAATTATACATCAAAGTAGACAAGCAAATTAGCAAATAAGTTATTATCAATTTTAAATAACATAAAAAATTAACCACCTATTAAATTTTCATGCTCTAAACTGAAGAAACCCAAATTTACCTTGGGCCTTTCATTTGTTTGTAGAGTGCCTTGAAGTCCAGTACTTCTCACTCTTTTCATCTATTCTTCCAAGAATTTTCCTACTATTAAAGACCACCTGCAAAAGTTTGAACCTTTTTTCATCAGTCCGAAACGAATTAATTTACATGTTGCAAACAGTTACAAATCCAAAAGAGAAAAAGTAATTGAAGTGTAGAGTAGATCCTATTAAAATGTTAAGCAAGCCCACTTTTCTCTAACTAAATTGAACATTCTAGTGATAAGAGTTTCTTCATTTTCTAAGAATTCAAGCTCAGAATCTTGGTTGGATTCCTCTACAATGAATAGTTAAAAACCATTAATTCTTTACCCATTGGTCATAGAAAAGCAGCAAAAAACACATTAAACATCCCAAAACATATATAAAAAAATACCAGACACAAACAATCATAAGATTTGATGAACCATTTACTCAAAAAGGTACCTCCTAAAAGTCTAAAAAAAAATCATATGAAAATTATCAAAGTCTTAGTTGGAGTTGAATACATATGTAAGAAAAAAATTTAAACAATTGAAATAAATCTATAAATAAAAAATGGGTTACCTCTAGAATCCAACTTGCATATAGCCTCTAAGGCATCAACCAAGCTAGAAACTCATCCTTATCACTACTCTCAATATCAGTAGACCTAACAATGGATTCAACAAGGGAATTGAGAGCAGAGAAGGTGTCAAATGAGTGGAACTTGTAGGGGAATTCAGTTAGTAAATTGAGACTTGATATTTCTCTAAGCATTTAATTTTTCTAAGGGAACTGTATTTAGAGTAGTGGCTGAGGGGTATTTTGAGGTTTGAAGTCGCTGTTTTCGGCTTAGATCTCAATAAATTCAAGAGGGAAAATCAAGAGAAAAAAGGAAGCTTCTCCATTTAAACTTTTGGAGAAGCTTCTAGAGAACCTTCATTCCCCAAATTACCCCTTAAGTGAATTTATTTAGATTGCTTATCTATCCTATAATAGATGTTAGGGGATAATTTTAACATTATGCAATAAATTATATAAAAAAAAGACTTCAAATAATGCATAAAATTTAGATATTTTTAGGGATATCAATAGATAAGGTATAGAACAGGTAAAACATTTTCTATCCCATCTCTAAATTTTTATAATATACCTATCCTTTTATCCATATCTAACTAATATTTCAAATATATTCACATCCTCATCCTTGTGGGATTTAATGAGTATAAATAATCTTCATGTCTATAACTTTTTTAAAAAATAAAAATAAAAATTTATTTTTTTACTTTTTTTATTTTATCTTACATATTTTGATAATTTTTCATAAATATATATTAATATATATTTTTTAATGAAAAATATATTAATTATAATTAATCTAAAATAATAATTTATATTATTTAATAAAAAATCTATTTACTAAATATATATAAGTATATATGTAAGGTATAAGTACACGATAGATAATATATTACTCAATCCCTATCCCCATAATAAAAATATAAAATTATACCCATCTTCATCCTTATCCTCATACCCATAATGTAATACCCATTTTTATTTTCACTTAGGTAAAATATCGAATTCTCTATTGAGTATGGATAAAATTAACATCTTTAGATATTTTGAATTTGATTCTAGATATAGGAAGAGTTTATACTTAACAATTCAGGTT